CGACTTTATCGGCGAGCTTCTTCTCGTGGACGTTGCGGTCGAGCAGGTTGTAGCAGATGTTGGTGGACGCTCCCTCCATGCACTTGATGTAGATTTCTCCTTTGGTCACATCAAAGTTGTAGTCGAGGAACTGACCCGTGTGCTTGGTCTTCCAGAAGAAGTCCTTAGCAACGTCGCCCCAGAACTCTGCGGGACAGGAAGTAAGAGCGATCAGAGGGAGACGCATCAGTTTGCACATGAACTGTACGACTATTACAACAAACAGTGAATAAACATGGGGTTGCGTTTCCTTCAGTTACACACCCCGACGCATCTTCCATCACCACGAGCATCACTCCGTCTGTGACATCATCGTTAGCGTGGAAATACCAATGTACCCTTACACTGTATTATTACCGCAGTAACATCCTGGTACCATTTATTCTTCTCTTTGTTGTATCACATCATTGCGTGGTTACATTGTAACCGCCGTGTTACAGTATTTTACGCCCTGTTGTTCTTCCTGAGGACAGTTTGTTCCAAGTACAGAGTTTATGCTCGTTACAAATACAGTTCATATTAAATATGTCTGCCCTCCTGACGCACTGCTCTGATGTGTTTACAGTTTGTTTTTAACACACACACACACACACCTGAAAAGGTGTCGCTTACAGCAGAGCCTATAAACAGCCGGCTTTAATCACTGTTAATAATCAACCAGCTCAGGTTAAACTGTTTAACAGCTGCTGCTGCAGCCAGACGCCGCTTTGCAACGTTTTCCTCTAAAAACTGTCATCTGTGCATGAAGCCTGCAGCACAGACCGGCTGATATCATGCTTTACACACCTCCCTCCAGGAAACCACCTGAGCAGGTAAAACTACTTCCTTACTGCCACCAAACTAAAATAATCTCAAAGTTCATGTCTATGGGTTACACTAAACTACACTTATTACAAACAGAACAGCAAAACTTTCTTTCAAGTCATAAAGAGCAGTTTCATGTTATTTTTGCCCAAGCGGTCATTTAGCTTCTGAAACAGAACAAAGATGACATGAGTCCAGAAATATTCAGTCTGATGAAAAAAGAAAAAGGTCCTGAAAACTGGAGTATTTCATCCAGAGAACTGTGGATTTTTAAAATGCTGCTCATTTCCAGCTCGCTGGTTTTATTCTTGGACTCAGCTGAGCAGCTTTGCATGGTTTTATGTGACACTCTGCTACATGTTTAATTTTATAGATGCTGAACCTTTTCAGCTTCTTCGGCCTATTGGTATCAAAGTTGTTTCCCATTACAATAAATGGATTACATAAATGCTTGGATCATTCATTGTCACCCTCACTAAACTTTGACGGCTTTAACAGCAGCCTGCGTAGCCACGATGCCAACACGCCGTTGTGTTTCCAGAGGTGACCACATGTGGATGAGAGGGTGGAGTCAAAGGTATCACCAAATGCTGTGCGGTCACCAAGCTGCATCCTTGGACCGTATTAGTGCATCAACCCGGAGCACCGCCTTCTCAGATGATTAGTGCAGTGACCTCACAGCAGACATTACTGGTCACATGATGTCATTACAAAGCTCCAAAAGGCTCCAACAGCACAAACACGATCCAGAGGTCCAGTTCTGGGACTATGGGTACCGACTCAGTGCTGGCGCCTCCGCTGGTCACTAGAGGAACTGCAGCTTTCACACCCAAAATCTTGTGTTTCTTTTTGTATTTAATCCATTTCATCTTTTTAAAAGTTGGATTTGTGGTTTTCAGCTAACTGGTAAGACTAAATTGGTCTCCATGGTCTCTGGCTATGATGTCACTGCACCTGCCTGATCGCTTGAATCCAAACCAAAGAGCGGAAAATGTCACAGATCAAAGGAGAGCACAGAGGGCACGCGCAGGGAGCGGTGCATCTGTACATGAAGACAGGTCTACACTCCACCCCGGTGCGCGTGCACTCCCGGACTATCTGCACCTGCCCATTCACACTTTATAAGTTTAGCTGACTGTACGATGACGTTTCTGCACTTCTGCTTTAACCCTGACCCATCACCTGTGTCACCTGGGGTCGCAGGTGTCGTCTTTGCTACCTGAGCTACCGTTTTGAGGAGACTCACCGTCCGGGTTGTCCACGGACTTCATGTAGAGCTCTCTGTACTTGTCGAAACTCGGGACGTGAGCCTCCTTCAGCTCCTCGGAGCCGTGGAACACGTTCTCCTGCGGGGGTTTCTCAGGGATCATGTCTGAAACTCGAGCCGTGAGCTCAGCTTCCAAAAGAAACAACGGGTCTAGCGGGCAGGTGTCCTTCAGCTGCAATTAATGAATGGTGGCTACGAGGCTAGCAGGGTGCCAGCTAACGGCTAGCAGCAAAGTTCATTTAGACTTCCTTGTTCTGCAGGAGCTTTTTTTTTTTGTTGAGCTTCCGCTCAGACTTTATGTGCAGAAGCCGAGCTTGGACCGTAAACTCGCAGGTGCGTCTGTAAACCGGATCCCAGGTGAGTGTGGGTGCAGCTCCCGTGGACTCTGTCCGCTCCTCTCGAGGAAAGTCCTGCAGAGCGGACACGGAGCAGCTAACAGGCTAACGCGCTGAGCTAACAGCCTTCAGGAGAAAGAGAATTCACACGCGTGCGCAGAAGATTCCTCCCGCTTCAGCGTGTAAAGTGTGTTCTGGATAAATGTGGGCAGCAGTTGGACCTCTGGCCGAGCAGAGCCTGTGTGGACTCTCCGAAGGAGCCGCTGAGAGGGTTTCGTCTCTGAGCTGACAGGTCGCAGCTCCTTCTTTTTCTTCTTCTGCTCCAGGAAAGCGTGTGGCGCTGAGCCCTGTTTGGCTCCAGGGGCAGCCAATCAGAGATCACCGCTGATTCGCGGACGCACGGAACTGTAAGAATTTACAGTACTAACAATAATAAACAGGGCTGGTGCTGCATTCAAGTGCTTCTCACACAGGGTATAAGATAGTAAAAGTTTTATTTATTCAATTTTGGCTCAGTCTCGGTACTGTGCAAAAGTCTTGAACTTACATTGTGCTGGGAAAATGAGAAATAGGTAAAGCGATGAATGGAAATCCAGTTTAGAAGCCAAAAACAGAATTTATGTGATTCTAATGACCGTCAAGTCGGACAGATGGTGTTGCACGGTGAATCCAACTCTTATGGAACTTATGGAACTTTTTTGTGTTCAATCCATGCGTTTTAAGTTTACCTGTGACAGAGCTTCATCCTTAGAATTACTCAAATATATTTTGCAATTCCAGAAGCGGAAGTGAATGGAAGGGTGGTGTTTTGAGGCTAGTTTCATTTTTCCTTAGATTATTGATAACGGTCCAATGCTGCACCCTTGTGGGCACAGCTGTGTATTACAGCAGTCCCTCATATCATATTTTTTATCTATTTATTTTTTAAGTATTTGAGTCAATCCGGCAGCATTTCTCTGAGACAGCATTTCTCTGAGGAGAGCGGTCTCAGAAGCTCATGACCCGTTATTGATCCTCGTGAAAGAGAAAAATCTTTAATTATACATTTATCACTCAGTCTCCTCCTAATCAGTTTTTATTCTGTAGGATGAGCGGTGGCTCGACAGAGCTCTGACTGTTTGTCAGCCTGGCTACAGAGCTGAAGAGAAACCTGGGGTTGTTCTTATTTTCTTCAATCAGTGATGAATAGTAAGATGTTCTGGCTTTGCGGAGGGCTTTCTTATAAAGCTGCAAACTATTTCTCCAGGCTAAATGATGATCCTCTAAATTTGTGACACGCCATTTCCTCTCCAGATTACGAGTCATCTGCTTTAGGGTACGTGTTTGAGAATTATACCACGGAGTCAGGTACTTCTGATTAGAGACCTTAGTTTTCACAGGAGCTACAGTATCCAGAGTCGTACGTAGTGAGGAGGAGAAATTATTAACAAGATAATCGACCTCTGTTGGGGTAGCGTTCAGATAGCTGCTCTGCTGTGTGTTGGTACAGGGCATTGAAGTCATAACAGTGGGTGGATTATATTCTTAAACTTAGTTACAGCGCTTTCAGAAAGACATCTACTGTGATGAAGTCTACTCTCCACCGCTGTGTAATCAATTATTGTAAATGTAAATGTTATCAGGATATTATACTGTAATCGGCTCACCAGCCACTTTATTAGGTACACCTTGGTAGTACTGGGCTGGACCCCCTTTAATACTTCTTGGCTCAGATTCAACAATATATTCTGGTGACATGACATCATCATGACATCATACAGCTGCAGCACCCATAATGAGAATCTCCTGAACATCCCGAAGCTGCTCTGCTGGACTGAGATCTGTGACTGCGGAGGTCGTCCGAGGACAGCGAACTAATCGTCATGGTGAGGAAACCAGTTTGGTCTTAGCTTTGAGATGTCGGAAATCTGGGATTCATAGAGTATTCCTCTGACGCCGTCACAAGCCATCAGCAACCACCCTGAGTAGGCTTAAACGATGCTCGGCTGGTCCTGAAACCCCCCAGCAGCAACCTGAACACGGACGCTCTCGTGACGTTCACACCACAGATGCGCTTCACACACCAGTGCATAAACACTACAAAGCTTTCCTCCAGTTAAAACAAGGCCAGCCTCAGGTGGTGGCTGTGGAGACCTTTACAAACACATGTACATTTTTGGCCTTTAAGGATTCAAGATCTTTGTGATTATCAGCGTTAACTGAGAATCGAACCTGAAACATATCTGTAGCTCATCATCATCCACTCACTGCTGACAGAGCAGAAAGAGCCTCGTCGTCTCAGAGCTCACATCAGCAGCTGGAAGCTTAGAGGCACATCTGGGAAGAGCAGAGGAGTGAGCTCAGCTCCTGCTGTGACTCACACCATCGCTGCTTCAGGAGAACATCTGGACCTCCTGCAGATGTTAAGACTCAAAACCCAGCAGACCAAAAAAACCCATCATAGCTTTGCTGCCTCTCTGAGTGGTTTTTAACAAACACCTGAAGGATTGTTTTCCTGTCATCGCCAAGTTGGAGCGCGATTCTGTGGAAAGGAGGAGAAACAGCCGACTCAGGCGTGGAAATACTGTTTTATTGTCTGTACGAAACTTTATTAAAGAAGTATAACAAACACAGAGAAGCCCGGACAGAGAAGACTCGGGTGCCGCTTGGCCCGCGGCGTGCACGCTTATCGGCACAGAGCGTTAAAAGGGGAGAGAGGTCAGAGGTCAGTCAAGCATCATTACCTTTAAAGCGAGTATTTCCCTTCGCTCAGACACGTTCTGTACCAGTCAGACATGAAACACCACCACAGTCCTTCTAACGCTTACAGTGACACACTTATTATCGTTCCAGCAGACCGCAGTCCGCGTTCAGAAGTGAAAAAAAAAAACTCTCAGCACAAAGACAGAAGCGCCGGTAACCTGATCACCTGATGTTGGCAGTGCGGAGGAAGTAACGCCGCTCTTCCACCAGCGTGATGCTGGGACCTCGCCCTCAGAGGTTCTCCAAGAACAGAGCAGCTGTGTCCAGGTGAAGATGCTCCGTACCAGCTCTGGAGTGGCTACTGGGACCACAGGGGTGGAAGAATAGAACCATTACCTCTTTTCTACCAACGCTGTGCTGCTGAGAGCCCAACATGGCGGAGGGTCAGCGGCTGAAGAAGACGTTTATGCTACTGAAGACAGCGGTAAGTGTGGACGCAGCAATGCCGCCATGCTGTTGCTGTTTCGGTTCAACATCAAATACCTCCGAGCACAGACGAGCATTCTTTAGACCAAACCCAAGCTCACTTCCTGCTCCTCTAATCCCCTCAAAACAAGATTTAGACAGAAAGTCACAGTTCCACGCCGACGTGTTTTTTTCCTAACAGTTCAGAGCTTCGTGTGAATTTTACTGAAGGTTTTTACTGGTTTGGAGGGGCGGGCCTTAATGGGGTCAGTCTCTAGGGAAGCTCCGCCTCCAGTTCCTCACGCCACCAGCTTTAACGTGACGCCAGCAAAAGTTTCAACAAATTCATTCGGACAAACGTGCCAAAATACAGTTCACGTAAAGTTTAATGTTTAATTGTCTTCACCCCCACCCATCTCCACCACCTCTGCCCGGCCGCCAGGGCTTCTGATCCGCCTGTTTTAACTCCGCCCACTCGTCACTATGACGGAGCTAAACGGCACACGCAAAAAATAAAATTAGAAAAAAAAGAAACGCAAACAAATAAAAAATTAAAAAGTTCGTTGATTTTTTTCAAGAATGCAGAAATGTCTCTTTCCAGAAAGAAACCCAAAACCACACTCGGGTCCCTCCGCCCGTGAGAGAGCTGTAACCGGCGGATGGAGACGGCAGAGGGAAATAGTTCCTGCATAAAACGGCTCACGAGTGCTTTTTCTTTTGCGTGGATCACATTCTTCTGGAAAGAGAGATCCCTGCAGAGCTTTCAAACCTGCTTTTGTGCCTTTATGAACTTTCACATCAGTCGCATTAATCAGAAGCCAGACTACAACTTAAACTAGGAGACTACTTCAGTTTTCCTCCTCGGGTCCGAAAGCAACACGTGCTGCAGCACAGACCAAAAAACTAGCCGGTAACCCCGCCCCGAGGCTCCGAGGCTCCGCCCGCTCTTCCAGAAAATACATTCTGAAAAAGATGGAGAAACGAAAAGATCGGAGACGCTGAAGGCAACAAGCAGGAGAGCGGACCGAGCCTCAGCCGGACACTTTTGGGAGCGTTTGATGGAAGACGGACGCCGAGCGTTTCCCCACAACGACCTCCAGACTGACAGTAAACGCACAAACAGTGCACACACACACACACACACACACACACACACACACACAGTAAAGAAAGAAAGATTAAGGCCATCGATGGAACATTTCAGAAACTGGGCTCCAGTCAGACCCACGACAGCGCTGCAGGGACGTGTATGCAGACTCGCAGTGATTCCCACGCGCTTCCTTCAGCACGCTAAGCAATACGCTTAAACCCCGACGCAGGACACGCCGAACTCTAACAGGGAGCGTCCGCAGACAGACCCAATCGGCCGCGAGCCCGAAAGAGCCGGACAGGCTTTTAAACCGCGCGCACAGATTGAAGACGAGCTGACTACTGTGCAAACCAAAGAGGGGGTCGTTTAAGGTTACAGCGAGTGCATCAGAGGGGCGGAGTCAGTGACAGCACAGCCTGAGGGTGGAGGTACCCCACCCTCTGCCCTGGAGCGCACAGCATTTGGATTTTCCATGATGTGTAAGGGCCGCTGCAGGAAACAGACAAAGCAATCTGGTTTGGTTCTTTTTTACTAAACATTGTCGTGTTGATCAGAAGGCTGCCAAACGCAAACACGTCCTGCAGTTTGTTAGGAAGCCTGACGTGTCCGATGTGCTACCAGGAACATTTTCAGTGTGAGGGAAAAATCTCTGCGCTGACGTGGCTGCGATCAGAAAGGTGAACAACACGTGCCAAACACAAAAACACAACCAGTGGAGAGAGGTGGGAGGCGTGAAGAACAGGAGCATCAATTTACAAAAGCTCAGCACAAATAAAGATGGTGGAAGAAGGCCAGCAGACGAGCCGGCGGCGCCGCGTCCCAGACTAAACCTGCACAAACCCTCAGCGGGTTCGCTCGGAATGTGTCGGGATTAGTTTGGGAGGTCGGCCGGGTCTGCGGAGGAGGATCTCCACGTTTCATTTCAAACACACACAGACAGACACACACACACAGAGAACATCATCACCGTGTTTTCAAATCAAAGTTCGTTACAAACACCAGATATGTTTGTTGGCACCATCCGGTTTTGGGAAAGATGGAGTAACAGGGGGAGGCGGGGCCGAGGCTTCGCGGTAAAGGATGTTTGTCGAAGGCGAGACGAAGGAGAAGTCCAGCAGGTACTTTTGGGGGAGGGGGGGGGGTCAAGCTGAGACCGGGTTCAGCGCTGGATATAAAAACCAAAGGCTCGGCTTGATCGGGGTGTGGAGGCGGGTTGGTGGGCGAGGACGTCTACGAGAAACGTTGCTGCAGTCTTGAATATTAAAACTCCTCCTGATCCTCAGCGTCCGGTATGACGAAGCCCTCCTGGAGACAAACGCAGACGGGACACAGTTTTAGGCTCAGCACGAAATGTCACTTCCGGTTTGCACTACAAACCAATCATGTGCCGTGCTGCATTATATCAAATGAAAGTGTGTGTGTGTCCAGTGAAGAAGCACTTTTTAAATGTGTTTACAGTCAAAGTGCCGACGTGTGTTTAGGATCCTTCCCGAGGAGCTTTTGGAAGTTTTGGCATCGCCTGCGGCCGAGAGCCACAAACCACACCAACGAGTTCAAGAGCGCATTTAAAAAAACAACATTAATCTGCATAAACACAATAATGATACATGTGTGTAAATGAAGCAGCAGCGTGGGAGGCTGGCACAGTGAGCTGCATGCCTCTGCAAGAATCCACAGCAGCTGTTCACACTGCAACAAATGGCACTTCCTGTGAGGAACACGGAGCGCATTTCAGCCAATCAGGTGTGAGGGATGTCTGGTGTGTCATATCTGAGCTGCAGAGTAAAAATGGATCCTCCAGTTCTGTAATTTAGCCACGTGATACATGAATTATTGAAAGCTAATCACTCACGTCTGTGGCGTAGAGGATGTCGACGATCCTCTGCAGCGTCGGGTCGCCCTCGCCTTCCTTCTCCTGGCAGATCAGCTCGATGTTCCTCAGCTTTCCAAAATAAAAGTCTCTCTCCTTCTCCATGTCCTGGATGGTGGATTTCAGCATCTCCATCTGTGGACGAAGATAAAGACACCTGATCAGCACTCCTCGCCTCGCCGTCATCCTTACAGAGGCGACAGTCTGCCCTCTGACCTCATTGATGAGCTCAGCCACCTCCTCGTCGTTTCCTCCCGTCCCCGCCTTCTTCGCACTGACCGGAGCCACCTTGGGCGCCACCTTAGCCACGGGGGGCCTCTGAGGAGCTGAGGAGAAATTAGAAGGTCAGCGACACGATCAAAACTTCAGCACTTCTAAACCCGTCTGTAACCGTCACCCATCTGAAATCTGACCAATCAGACGTGTCGGCTCTTACCTTGATTGAGGGCCTTTTTGGGTGGTTTGTTGAGGGCTGACGTGGCGGGGTTGGGCGTGGGCATGGCGTCCTGCCCCTGTCTCGCCTCCACGGGGTCGTACTCCTTTCCGTCGTAGTTGGCGTCGAAGAACTTCTTGAACCACTGTACGAACTCGAAGTTATCCTGGAACTTCCCCTTCACCAGTTTGTCCACCGGAATGATCTGGAAGAGACGGAGAAATGGCGCCAGGCTGTTAGCAGCGCTCTGACTGCAGGGTTTACATAAAAACTCAAGTTTCATCACTTTTGTCTCTTTGACATTTAAAGTTCGACGGACATCATATTAGTCCCACCCTGGACCGACACAGAGTCCCGTTAAACCATCTACAGCAGCGGAGTCCAACTCCAGGCCTCGGGCGCCGGTGTCCTGCTGGTTTTAGATCTCAGCCTGGGTCAGCACACCTGAATCAAATGATTAGTTCACGACCAGACCTCTGGTGGACATTATTTAGCCATTTACATCAGCTGATAACGCCGGCCCTCGAGTCCCCCCACCTGACATGTTCATTCTTTCCGTTTTGTCATTTGCCAGAATGAAATTAACCGTTCAGAACAATCAGACCTCAGGTTTGTTTCTGCACCAGCTCACCACCACCTCTCGTTCCAAACAAGCGCCTCGTCACGAAGAGTCATGAATTCAACGTTCTCGTCTCCGCCCGTCGAGCTGCAGCAGGATCGTCTCTGCAGCTCTCTGGACTGCACACGTCTGAAGCGCACAGAGTTAAAAACCTTCTGGAAGGAGCTCAGAGATCATCCCGAAAGAAACACGTTTGGATCCAGAGGACAAACTGAGCCGACATTAATGAAGCTCAGTTTGCTAAAAAGACCAGAGAACAGGAAGCACCAGAAACAAAGAAACTTCCACTAATGCGAATAAAAGAGACAAAGTCAAACAGAGACTTTCAAAGGTTTGAGGAGCTTTTTTCAACCCTCAAAGATGTGCAGCGAGCCGAGCACAAAGCGAGTCCGGTCTGATTCACACACTGCTGTAAGAACAGGTGTTTGGTTACAGATCACAGCTGTTGGCGAGGGAGCGCCGCGCTCCTCCGCTGCCTTTATGTTTGCACTGTCTTTAAAGCTTTTAAATAGCGTTAGTAAAAAGAAATACAAAGCAAATGTGCACGTTCAAAGCTCGCTGGGACATTTCCTGAGCCGCACCAACATGTCCTCACTCCTCTGCTGCTCTAATGGGACCATCACTTCCTGAACTTCATCCTTTATTCATTCGGACTGAGAGCATAAAGTCATCAGGTAAGCGTTTACTGAGCTCAGAGATCGGGAGGGCACTCGTTTGCTCTCAGCTCCGAGAAAGTGGGCGTGGCGTCAGTGGTGGCGTCTTTGCAGAACAGCGCTTAGAGGCCGGGGGTCAGCCGGGATCAGCCGCAATTCCTTGCGTTCACGCTGTACGCAGGACTTGTGTCCTCGCTTCAGCTGAACGACTTCACTGTGGCAGGAACAGTGTAGCATGTAATTAGCTGTGGATTTCCCACAGAAACCAAATCCTCGCTAATCCTCAGAGTGATTCACGTCGCTCAGGCCGAACACACCCCTGCTCCAGTTACGCCAATGCTTCCTGCGGCTGCTTCACAACAAAAGACCATCACTAGGAAACCACAGGAAGGTGGTAATCCTTCATGTTTTAATATGAGATCAGTTCACAGCAGCAGGCGTCTCTCTTCATGCTGCGAGGTAAAGAACCAGCGACGTGATGTACCGCGAGCAAAACGGCTTCACGACAGAGCGGTGCGGTCTGCATCCGTACGAACACGATTTCAGTCGTCAAACAGAAACGTTTAAACACGTTATTATTATTGTCTGCATCTGTGAAACGGATGGTCTCAACATCTGAGGATTGTGCGTCGCCGCCAACAGAAACTCATCAATGAGCATGACTTACTTTGTCGACGCCCATCTTTTTGAAGGCCACCTGCAGAAGCTTGAAGTTGTGGATGTACTCGTGCTCGAGCTTGGCCCCGAACTTCACTTTCTTCAAAGGCACAGAGTTGGGAAACAGCATGTCCATGAACTGGCAGTAAGCAGCACCTGGACACAGGAAACACTTTGACTACAGGCGGAGAGGAAACACCGCGTCAACGGCGGCGTCACACACCACAAGAAATCAAAACTGACAAACTGCACGTTTGATTTTAGAAATAGCTTTAATCGTCTCTTTCCTGTTCGCTGTGTGATGTAACCCACACAGTGATAGAAGTCACATGCTAACGCCTCAGGATACGGAGACGAGAAGAGCGTGAGGCCACAGAAAGGTTAGTGTGACTGAATCTGTTCAACGGTGACCTGAAAGGGTCAGAATAGGGTTTGTAGACTAATCTGATCATCACCTGACGTACGTTTAGGTGTCAAATATGAAGGCGGTCCCTCGGCGAGCTGCAGATTTAAGAGAACGGCACAAAGAGTGCTGAAAGTCCTCGCTTACCTGAGCACAGCATTTCTATCTTGGTGAGGTTCATCTGTAGAGACTCGTTGATCCACACGAGCATGTCATGGCGACTTAAGTTGTCGCTGGTCACTGAGGTCGAGTACACGTTCACAGCCATCGTCGGTCACCTGACCACACAGACACACACACACACACACACACACACTTACATGGTGGCCATCACACCGACAGCTCGTCGGGTTGTTACTGTCACTTTAAACCTGCTCGATCAGGACCTCGTCAATGAGGATGACCCGATTAGATAAATCCTCTACTCTGTGGAAACACTGGACTACTTTTTGAATTAATCTGCTGAAAAGTAATTGTTTTGGTTTGTCAAATTTCAGAACAAAGGACATGAAATGCAGTTTGATCACAGTAAACTCAGAATTTCTGTTTTTCAGACAAGACAAACAAAAAAAGCACGACTTCCTGTCCTTTTGTGATGGAAACGGGTGAAATGTGGATCTGAACCGACTCTTTGGCGTTTGCTCGTACTTGCAGGCCCGTCTGTGGCTCTGCGTCAGATAACGAGCTGCAACCTTCGGCCAACATTTAATCTGCCGCTGAGGACGAGGCTGCAGGCACACCCAGATACAAACCTCCGAGATGAGCACAATTTAAAACTCAAAGCATTTTATCTACAGGAGCAGTCGCAGTTTTCTGAGTCAGCGGCAAAAATCACAAACTAAACAGACAGCAGTCCCGACGATGCCTGTTTCAGGTATGTCCTCTGCAGCTGGAGGTCAGTGCTACACAATGTACAGATGTGGTCAGCTGTCACATCTTAAAGGCCAAAACGTGGTTATTGTAGGAGTCATCTGTAAGCAGCCTTCACACCAAGAGATCCTCTCAGGAGAGGAAGCTGAATGCCATCGATGACCAGCAGAAAATCTACAGCAGAGCAAATGCTCCTGGGCAGGTAGTAAACACTGACAGGTCCATCAGCTGATTTCATTTAGTGACATCACTGTGAATGTTGCTACAAAAACTTGTGTGATTCAGCAACAGTGTCATCATGCTTACAGCTGTTTACAGGAAGCTGAGCAGACAGTGGGCGGAGTCACGTATGGTGAGGTACCAACCAGGTCGTGAAGGTTAATAAACGGACATCTTTCCCAGCCAACAACCATCAGTTGTCAGTCTGAAAGTAACAGTGACGCATTTGTTGGGTTTTTTTGTTTTCCTTATCACAAACAAACCATCTTCCAACATTTATTCAAATATTATTCAAATATCATCTCCAGTAAATGCAGATTAGCATATTTCTCAAAGAAGAAAAGTTGGTTTTATCTTTGCTGTTAAATACAGATTTTCGTTTTCTTTATTCAGAGGACCAAAAATAAAGTTTTAAAGGTGGGCAGTGGCCCCTGTAGCTGACCAGATGAGGCCGGGCTCCTGAGCTGTGAGGAAGTGACCGTTAGCCACACGCTGCTAACATTAGCGGTGATCAGCAACGTCAGGTCCGCGGCTCCAAGCACCGAACGGGTCAGCGTCCGGCTCACTGGGAAGACACTGGCCGAGCTCCGCTATCTGTGTTAATATTAGAAAGCTCGGTCATCGGCTAAACGCGCCCACACCGGCCGGCTGAGTCAGTCACCTCCCGGACCTGCAGGCGGTCCGCCCCCCCGCCCTGAAGCACCGCCCGGTTAGCTCCCGTTAGCCTCGGCCATTATTGAGTCAAACCTCCTCGGATAAGAGCCGTTAATAGCGGTTTAAACCGTCACCGTACCGGCAGCTGCCAGAGCTGGAGCTCGGTCCCGGGGTGCCCGGTCCGAGGCTCCGGGATCGCACGGTTCTAGCTACATGCTAACACTGAAGCTAACAGAGCGCGCCGCCGTTATCCAGCCGCTCCGGCCGGCTTCAAACCTACCTGCAGCCGGTGTTCTTTCGCGGTTCTCGAACTTGGAGCTTTTACTCTTCTCAGCGGGAAATGTTTCTCATAAAAACAAACAACCTGCGCTCGTTTCGACGTTTGTTCCTCTTCTGCTTTTTCTTCTCTTCCTCACGTCCACTCTGCCGGCAGCGGAAGAAGCGATGCGATGACGTCAATACGTAAAGGGAAACGCCTAAACGTAAGGACGGCGGACGGAAGCGAGACGTCAGAACAAAATGGTCTATGGTGAGGTCATTATTCATAAAAAGGATTATTTTCAATAAATTCATCATTCACGACAAAAACATCCTCATGTTATAGGAGCAGCGGGTCAGGTTTACGTCACTCAGTGACGTATCGACATCCCAATAACCATAGTAACATCATTTTCCTCCTGTAGTGACACAGAAACATGTGCACTCCCACCTCCTGCAGCAGCAGGCCTTCACTCTGCTATCACAGGAAGCTGAATAATGGAAGAACAGCCTAGCTTACATTTACATGGAGATTTTAGGAGCTTAACGCCAAATAAAGACCACACGAGAGAAGAGATGAACTGATTTTACTGAAAAACGGCCACCACCTGAATCTGTTGGTATTAATCAGAATCAGAATCAGAATCAGAATACTTTATTCATCCCGAGGGAAATTAGGGGTTACAGCAGGCAGCACGCTAATGGCGCATGCGCACTCACAAAGGAACCTTCTGACCAACTATACACAAACATCACATTGGGCAGACATGTCAGAAGGTAGGCTGATAGGAAAAAACAACGAAAATACATTACACGAGGTAAGAGGAGGAGAAAAAAAAAACTCCACTCAGACTGAGCTCCTAGTGGGAGAACAGTTTGATAAAAGAAAAAACACCTCAGCACAAAAGCACATGATTATCAATACACCATAGAAAGGGCCCAAAGAACCACAGCACAGTCACCGAAATCTTCATCGTCTCAGTTTGAACTTCAGCAGGTCGTCTTCACCGTGTGTGAGCTGCTGCCACACGATTGGCCGATTAGACATTTGTGTCATGGGCAGTTGAAGAGGCGTACCTAACAAAGTGGCAGGTGAGTGTATTTATTTTTGCCCTGCTCTCACACAGCTGCTAAAATCCACCAGGACTGCACACCAATGTTCCCTCTGTTTCATGTGTCTGAGCAAGCACACCAACTCCCTGAGCGTCCCTTGGACCACTGTGAGCAGCAGCAGACGTGTGCACTGTGGTCACGCCAGCATCCAATCCATGCAAGTTACAGCTTATTAAAATAATCAAATTACAGCATTTATGTTAGACGACTTTTAATTAACTGGTTTAGCCCACTTACAATGACAATTTAAAAAAAATCTTGTCCATGTCCTGTGTGGCATGTTAACCAGTGTTGGGTAAGTTACTTTAAATTAGTAACTTAGCTACATTACTAGTTACTTCTATCAAAAGTAACTCAGTTACTTCAAGTTACTCGTTACTTTCAGAGTAACTAGTTACTAGGGAAAGTAACTTTGGGTTTTCTCAGAATTCTCTTGTTAATGTGTTGCTTCCGTAACTGGATATCCAGCGAGATTGACAGTCTTCTAGCTTGCTTACTTGCCACAGTGCACTGTGCCACCTACCAATAGAAAGGAAAAAATAATGTGCACATTTCCACGAGAGAAATCCCACGCCTGATTCTATCCTAGCCTGCTTTTTACATCCAACACAAAAACTGCAGTCGTGGTGCTTTCGATTGTACTCAGAACTCGGAAATTCTGCCTTCTGAATAGGAAGATGTAGGTAACACCAGACTGCAGATGAGCTGCTTACAGGGCTGGATCAGCTTAAACGTGCTGCTGTTGTTTACCACGACATCCGCTGGTTTCCTCTTTCGGCGCAAAGTGAGCAATAAACAAACAAGAGAGAAAAGCCGATCAGCTGATCATTGATCAGTTTCAAGATTGAAGTAGAAACAGGAGAGAGAGCTAGAGAGGATGAGAGGAGAAGAGGCAGCTGTGCAGCGTAAACACAGAATAACTCCAGCTTTGTGTCTTTTTTATTGTAGCTGAAGTCCAGGACAAACTGTTCCTTTTCACCTCAATACGAAACGCGCAATATTTTCTCTGAATACGAGACGATTATGG